AGAAGCGATTGCCTAGCAATTCATTTGCAGCACCTTTCCTCTTTACCCAGAGCTTTCAGCTTCAGAATAATTCAAATCACAATGCAGGTAACTCGTATGACCACAGGTATTATGAGAAAGTCCAGTGGAAGAGCTTCTCACACGTATGCAGTGCTCCTGTTGAATCTGATGAGGACCTTGCCATTGTTACTGGTGCTGAATTTGAAGTCAAAGAATCTGGTATGAAAAATGTTCTTTTTCTGCGCCTTCATTTTTCAAAGGTCATTGGCGCCATGGTTGTCAAGAAACCTGAGTGGGATGGTTCCACAGTGCTGGGCCAAAAGTCTGGAATTATCTCAACATTGATTAGCACTCGCTTTTCAACTAGTCAGAAACCTCCACCAAATCCATCTGATGTAAACATCAACTCAGCACTGTATCCTGAAGGCCCCCCAATGCCAGCACAAACCCGTAAACTTGAGATATGTTGACACAAAGGAAATGACAAGAGGACCACAGGATCACCTGGATACTGGGTTGTTTCTGGAGCGAGGCTTGTGGTTGATAATGGCAAGATATCTCTTCGTGTGAAGTACTCTCTTCTGGCTGCCATCTTGCCGGATGAAGAGGAGCCATTTCATGGATAATTTTGTGGACCAAACAGCTGAAGCAGTAATATTGCGAGGCAAAAGAGGGATGTCATTTCATGATTGAAGTCACAGATTTTTCTTATATTTAGCGAGGAGTTTTTGAGAGTTCTTGTATGGTTTGAATGGTATCAGGCAAATTGCTGCACTTCTTGTGTTCTAGCATAAAATTATGTACATAATTCTTGATGTTGGAAGAATTTAACTGAAACAGTTACTTGTTTGGAAATAGGAAATGGAGAACAGGTAAATATGCATCTTATTATAGGATGAAAATACTTGTTACGCAGTTTTCCTGTCCCCATGTAATTTCATATTGCCCGAAAAAGGGAGGAGAGGAGGGCGGGAATTCTCATTCAGTGGAGTTCCAAATCTTGTATCTTGTTTCCTACAATCTTGAGATCACTGAATCATCTCCTTGCATAATATGGAAAATCCACAGGTCGGGTCTTTCTAGAAATCTGAAGAACAAATATTAGTTTTTTCTTTTTCAGTTGTCATAATTTCTACTAATAAAACTGGATGTGCAAGCTTCTAATGTATAAATAAATATGTGGCTAATTATTCTTCCAGCTCTTGCTAGGTTTAATAAAATCAGAGTCAACCGTGAACTAAAATTTTGGGAAGTATTTGCTAGACTTTATTTATTCACGGACACAAGTTCAAGAGAATGTTTTTATAGCAACAGAGGAAACAAAAAAACAGGGCCAAATGCATAAGCAAATTTTGGAGTGTGTTTTTCACACCGATGGTAAGACAGAGTATGCTGTATCAAAGAAAGCCAAAAGTGCGACACTGGTGATAAGATGGTGTCTTTGTAGTTTTGGAGATCAAAAGTTAAAACCACCAGTTAATTTGGAAAAAATGGTGAAGAGATGGCAAAATCGATAAAATCAGGAGAAGAGTGAAGTGGAGGAAGCTTTGTTTCTTTGTAAAATTGATACAAGTCATATAAGGGGAAATAAACGGGCAATGAATTACTAAACTGCGAAGAAATCGGGGTAAATTATTAGGCTAGGTAATGAAATAGTGAGTTTTTGGTAATTGAAAATGCCTTGAAGAATAATGAATATGGAAGAGAGATAAAGATGCTTGTTCCAAATGGTTGAATAACTTGATGATTGCCATATATACAAAAGTAATTCCTCAAAAATATATGTGAGAGTGGATGGAATGTCTACATTGGACGTATGAGTGACAATTGTGTCAGAGCTTTTTTATTCGAGTAATAAAAAGGGATAATTTCAGAAACCTCCCTTGAGGTTTTTGACAATTTCACTCGGCTCTCCTCGAGTTTAAAAAATTACACTTACCTCCCTTGGCATAGTAAAATACCAATAATGCCCTCCACTTGATAGACAATTTTAAATTTAAGGCAATAAATTTACAAAACCCAAAAAAAATCTATTTTTCTGTCTCTTATCTATTTTCGCTCCTCTCTTTTCTAATTAATATAACCTCTTTTGTTATTTTCAATTTTGTGGATATTAGCAAATTGAAATTACAAAATCAACAGAAAGAGCAAATTATGTGTCAAATTAAGAGGAAACAAAGAGACTCGCAGTGATATAAAAATAAATAATGAAATTGATGAAATTAGAAGAACTAAAGATGTAGAATTTGTCATATTTTGTTTGTTGTCAAGAAAATCTTTTATAAAATGTCAATAATTACATAAGAATTTCTTTCATTGGATTAGAAATTTTTTATTACGATTTTATTATGGAGATAGAATTTATTCTCTACTTTTGAGATATTAATATTTTTAAAGCCATAGGAGGGTTATAATGGTAGTTCTAGGTCAAACTAACTTGTATTGAAAAGGTATTTGAGCATTGACATTTGATTTTGGGGTACAACTAACTGTTGTCAATGGGGTTTGTGTGTGTATTTTTTTTCTTTTTTTTTTTTTGCGTGACAAGTTTTGATACTGTACATGCAATTTGGAATTTTTTAGATGGCTATTTGGTTTTAAAACTTATGTTTGAATGATTATTGGGGATTAGACTTGTTGATTTATGCAAAGTATGAAAAAAAATGATTGAGTATACTATATTTTTCTTTCTTAGTTTTGTACAAAAGGGCAATTTAGGATGTTTGTTAGAAAATCTATCTTGTTGAGCCTACATTGTTACTGAACATTAAAAGTAGGGGAGGTATATGTAATTTTTAGAACCTGAGGGGAGCTCTCTATATTTGTTAAAAACCTCAAGGGAGGTTTTTGAATTATCCGCAATAAAAATGGCATTCAACATATATTTTAAAAATGGGAGCAAGCTCATATAAAATTGATAGTGTACATTGAAATGGTAGATATCATTGAATAAAATTCAAATGCAAATATAAGTGGTATTAGCTTATGGGGTAGGGATGCTAGGAATATAAATTATTTACTGTTATAAATTTGGTAGAAACGATGACTACATGAAGAATAGAGGTATCGATCAAGCAATGCACCCTAAGTCATTCGTACAACTCTACACCATAGAAAAATTTGAAAGTTTGTTTCGATGTTATTCTATAATTTCATAGGATTGCTAAAAGTTTAAAGGAGAAGAAACTTATTAAAGTTTCTGTTTCAGAAGTATTTGTGGTTGAATTTAGTTTTTCTAATTCTGAAGCTAACCCTCGGGTATTAGATGCCAAAAATGCATCTCATATTTATGTGAACATGCAAGGATGAAAGAAAAGTAGATGACCGAAAAATGGTAAACTCTTCATATGCGCAGGCAATGGTAGACATGGTCATGATTCCAGAACTGCCGGTTCTAGTTTAAAAACTAACGATTCCAATCCTACTAAAAGATGGAATCTGAACTCGCCCTTATAAGCATCTTAAAACCCCAATTTCGGTCCAATTTTAGTTCCAATTTTATTTCGATTACAGTTTCGATTTCTTCCAATTATAGTTCCGGTTCATTTAATTATGCTTAAACACTTGTTATAAAATTGATTTTAAGAAAATATGATAATGAATGTAGAAAAAATAAGAACATTATTGTACTATCTTGTTCAAGAAAATTTTAAAAAATGATGCAAATTTTATGAAAAAAATATTATGATTGATTAGATTAGATTGGTTTTAGACTTAAATTAGTTATGGGGTCTAAACTTACTAATAGGAAGAGACAATGGGCTGTTGGAGAATTGGCGATGCTGGTGTTAGATGCTGATATTGATATTGAATTTTGAAGTGGTCAAATAGATCTAGATAGCAATATTTTTTTATAAATAGCTTGAACCGATTCTAAGTAGTCAGTTCTAGTTCTAGTTCAAGTTTTCCTTTGGTAACAATTATGGTTTCAAATCTAGTTTCCAAATTTTCTTTTGATTCCAGTTTGGTTCCAGTTTAAACCTAAACCGTGGCTCTCCCTAGGCAATGGAGTAAGAGTTGCTCATTAGCCATAGGAATTTACATACATTACCTTGTGGACTTACTTTAAGATTAAGCAATTGTTACTATATTTCAATATGGATTGGAAATGTCTCAAGATACTATTATAATCATTTGAATTGTTTGTGCGAACAATTACACTGTCACATAGAGAATAATTTATCGACTCTATCACATAGAGAACAATTACACAAGTATAAAAATCAATTACACACTGTCACATAGAGAATAATTTGTCGACAAGATAAAATAATTATCCATCTGAATTGTTTATGCGAATCAATCTAGTAATTTTGATCATTCTATAACCATCACATACTTACAGTAAATGAGATCTATTGCTTCATTTATATATATATATAAAAAAGAGCCATGATATGTGCTAGTGTATCCCTATTAACAATTTTTTCAAAGTCACAATTCCATGAGGGGAGAAAAAAGGGTTTGTTATGAGATATGGCCATAGTTCTTCAGTATCAGATGTTTAAGTTGAGTACATAAAATGAAGAGGTAGTTTTTTCTTTCAATACTTTTTGGTGGAGAAGTTGAAGTCCTTTGATTAGGGTAAGAGCTAATTAGGAGGAGTTGCATGATATATTTGATTGGAACAGTAATTAACGTGGTTACTGTAATTGGTCAGAAATTAATTAGAAGAGTAAATACGAAATTATAAAAAGTGATAATAAAATTTTACAACAAATCAAACTCTGCTCCTACTTTATCATTGTAGTGATTTAAAAAATAAAAAATATTAGTAGTAGGCTGGCGGAGTTTACATCGTTGGTGATCTAATGAATTAAAATCAACTGAGTTTCATTACAAATAAATTTTTAGACAATGAATAAGTGACTCCAGGGTAATCCAATGACAAAACATCCCATTTCAAGCATCCTAAACTGCAGTCTGTTTCTTCCATCGTTAAACTGCATTAAATTTCAATACTCCTGGCATAATTTTAAACAAATTTCCTGTATCCCTAAAAAGTAGAAAATCACAAATCTGCTTTAACATTACTAGAAGTACATCAACAGTTATGAAACACGGATCCTTGTTTAGTTTACACGGGCGAACCAATATACATTTCCATGATATTACACTCACTCGCACAAGTTTAGCATTTCAATCCACATACTACTGTAATCCACTTTCTGCTATAACAGAACAATAATAAGATTAACAGGATTAGGCAAACAAAACGGACCAGGAAATAGCCAAAGACAGTCTCCAAACTCTTTGTCTAGCCTTTAATTTAAGTAGACAGACTTATGCTAGACATTCTTCATCCTCTTCCGCATACTCCAAAATGCAGCATGATATTGGTTCTGCAGCCAGATGGAAACTAAATTTAGGAATCCGAATCAAGCACACCTCAAATTCATGTTAGAACAAATTAAACAAATGTCATGGGTTATTATTGGAAAATCTCCTCTTCCAAGGGGAAACATCCGCATATTTTTTGTAAATGCTGGATAAACCAGATTGTAAGCCCCGTATTTCATGTTTAACGAGATTTCATAGCAAAACCTCATGAATGTTGCATTTACGATGAGAGTACCGGTTAAGGTGATAATATTGCAATTACAGCTTGTAACTCAGTACAGTAATAATACTGCAATCACAACTTGTAACTCAGTACAAGTCCTCCAAATTACAACTCAAGATGGTAGTTGACCCAATGCCATTTTGGTGATGCAGCACATATCTAAAGCTATCTTGTTTTACCCAAATTTAACCAGTACACAGGTGGAGTACAGATCAGAAATTGCCTATCTGTTTATCTTGTGCCGATCTTTCATCTATACCCATTTTTATTTGTAAGGAAAAAATCCTGTTAAGACAAACTGAAATTTATTTTCATGCCATTCAATTAGCCAAAACATTTCTTGCTAACTGAAACTTACAAATTACATGAATCCAAAACTAACCTGAAAGTCAAATCTCCAATCAGCCTCAGTGATTGATACTATGAACTTTTATGTCCAAGATGAGTGCTAATATGCTTACAGTAGGCATGTCAAACGCTAGCTATGCTGACCTAAACCAATTCATTTGTTAATTAGACCACACCCAAACCAAGGCCAAGGCCCAGATCTAAGTTACTGAAATGGAGAACCTTCTGAGTGAGTCTTAAGTAGAAATGTACCCAAATATAGATAAGTCTGTGTACCTAAATCACACCAATTAGTATTACCAAATTGCGTAATTACAGATTATAACGGGAGTTGTCCCATAACTGCTCTGCAAAAAATGGTCTGTTTAGATAGGTAGCTTTACCAAATACTAGTTTTTCAAATATAATGCTATAGTAACACCCATAAAAAATGCGCCAAATACATCCAGACAGCACACCAAAAAATAACTAGGGAAAAGAAAAAGAACCACCACCCTCCTATTCCACCACCAACCCCGCCACCCTCCTCTTCCCCCTCCTTCCTCTCTTACTCCTCATCTTCCCCTCCTCCGCTTCTTCCTCCTCTTCCCCTTCCTCAATTCCCCCACCCTGCTCCCCCTCCTTCCTGCAACCAAAACCAGATCTGGCAGGGAAAGGGAGAACGGTGTGGGAGGGGGCAATGGGGGGGGACGGGGAGAGATGGCATAGGGAAAGAGATAGGAGGTGGAAAGGAGGAAGGAGGGAAGAAGAGCAAAGGACAGAGGGGGAAGAGGCGGAGGAGAGCAAGGGGGGAGGAATAATAAAAAAAGTTTAAACATACCAAAGAAATTCTAAATTTTAAAATACCCCAAAATAGAATTCTACAGTAATGTTCATTTATTACGGTGTATTCATGAGAGACACTAAAACCTACAACTGGAGCTGCTGTTGAGTTAGATGCCAAATGAATACTAAACCAGAAGACAAACAACCTAGGGAAGTAAAATTACTTAAGAATTGCAGCTAATCCTTAACAATTATAATCCTCCTAAAATCACACACCAAGAGAGGCAAAAACCACACCCTCAATGGCCACAATGATGCTCGAAGTTCTCATATCCAATATATCTTTCTCATAATTCGGGAAGTTGACCCTGATTTCAAATACAGCAGAAGAAGGCAAAACTTGAATTTTAACAAAATACGTTATGCAGAGATGTGGATCTGGAGCTACTTTAGTAGATAAGTTATTGTTTGTTTTAGATTATTTAATAGCAAGAGTAGTTAAGCATCGGCTGCACAAACTATTTTTGTCCATTTAATCGTGTGTTTTCCAAGACTCTGGTTTCATGTATGAGCTACATGACTTCAATGCATTTTATGCCAACAACAATTTTTAAATAAAAATAAAACTTAATAAAACAAGATTTTAATTTTGATTGGAGGTCACAAAAAAACTTAAAAGTCCCCAAGTGATTTTGTACCTTCTGATTACAACTTATCAAATTCAAATGAAGAATATCGAACAATGAAATTTCTTAAATTTTTTTGGTCAGCCAAAGACCTCTCGAATTTTTGGTGTGCCTAAGATGTGTTTGTATTTATTCCTCTTGAAATTGCCTGCATTTTTATTTTTAAAGCTAAGTTCCACTACTTATAGTTTCTTTAAGTACTCCTAAAGCTCAATTTACTGCCAAGCATTCTGCGGAGGGGTAACTGATCACCAAACGTCCTCCATGGAATCATTCTTTCAACACCAGATACCCGCATTAAACATTAAACCAAGAAATAATGAAATATATGTATGTTTTCTGTAGCTCCAGCGCAGGAAACCAATAACTGAGCTTCAAGTTCCTAATTTTAATCTGAATTTGATATAGTTGGTCTAGTTTGTAGGATTTCTCTGGTCACACGAAGAAAATAGAAAATATAAAATAAAACAACTCTCCAATGTTCAGTAAAAGACTCTGCACAGCTACAATTGTACAACATATGACAAATTTTGTTTCAGCTCAATATCTAAAATAATGACAAGAACTTAAAACCAAGAAAAACTATGATGCAGAAAGGCAAATAGCTTACTTGCATCATAGAACGAGGATTTGTTGTATATGTTGTCTCAATGGTTGAGGATTGCTGCAACAGACAAATTTAAGAGCTGAATTCCAAATGTAAGCCACATAAGTCTAAACTGAAATGAGTCATTGAACTTGAAAACAAAGTTACCTCAAATTCAAATCCATAATGAAGAGCAACCTTTTTCACATCTTCCAAACTTAGTTCAACAGACATTTCCTACATGGAGGCAGGATTGATGTTTAAAAAAGAAAAAAAAAACTCAAAAGAGCTGTGACAGTCAAAAGATAATATATATCCACTTCCAAAGAAGAGCCTTACATCTTCTTGACCGTACATGTCTGCAAAGTGATAAAGTAAGGGACCCAATTTATCCAGACCTGGAAATCAACGAGATTAGATATGCCTTCCAACAGATTATAAAGAAATTGATAACAGATTTTTTCAAACTACTTACTCCCCCGTCCTTGAGAATTCTTGAAATGATATCAATGTATTGTACAATGTTATGAGCAGTGTCAAGGAAGAAGCAAGTCACCACAGCATCCCAAGCTCCTGCAAATGACACACAGACAGCACTCAGTGCTCAACAAACAATGTGAGTTCAGAGACACAAATTAATACTGATATTATTAATTAGTTAAATAATGTGAGTTCACAGACAGCACTCGGATAAAGCGTAAGATATAATAATTACATTACTGCACATCATCTTGTCAAGCAACTCAAGCTCACTCCCGCTATGACTGATAAAAGATCATTTCATCTCAATGACAAAATTATGTCAACCAAAAAAGTACTTAAGCCACATTTCAACACTACTTAAGCAGGGTTAAAGACCAATGAATCTTCAATAGCTTTAACGCTCGGCTTGAATCAGCTAGTCTACCATCTGTACATTTCTGTGTTCTGTGAGTCACCAAGAGCTGAATGTTAATATATACAAGATTGGTCATGAGACAAAAATAGACTCTGTTTAGCAGTGAACCTTTAACTGCACACAGTCAAGGTATTCCGCAGTGCTCGTCTGTCTAAGGATGGAAATTAAGGTGGGTGCCCGTGGGGGGCCAATGGGGCGGGCGTGGAAAATTTTTCCCCCGGTTAAAAAATGCTGACCCGCCACCCATTAAAAAAATTATATATGTATATATATATATATGTAATATATATTTAATTTAATTAGTTAAAAAACTTATAATAATGATATTATTAACTATAAGTACTATATAATGTACATTAGTATATATAATATAATTAATATTTCAATTATACTAATAACTATACATGTTTGCTAATAGAAATTATTAATTAGTTATGCTAAATTTACTGAAAATGGAAGGATTGTATGGAGTAGAAACAAATTTCAGCACTTGGGTTGGATGATTTGAGCTAGATGTTAGCTAAAATGGTGAAGAGCTCTCTTCCTTTCTTCCTTAAGGTTGGTCGGCCAAAGAAGAGAAAGAAATGGTGATTTTTGTGGCAAATTTGAGATATTTAATCAACAATTAGTAAGAAAGGTCAAAAGTCAAACAAGTCAAATAAGTGGCAACCTCTCTTAAAGTGACACATGTCACTTCATTAATGCAACTCTATCCTTTTGTCTCTCCAATACAAATATCTTAACACATTGTAAACTAATATCACTTAATACAAAATTCCAACAAGTTGTCAAAAATATAATGCATTTACCGCACTTGCGGGTCCCACGTTCAAAATACGCTTTTAATTTCTCAAAAACTAACCGATACTAGAAAAATCATTTTAAAACTATTTTTGCTCATAAACTTTATCTGGGGAATTTTTCTAATCAAGAAAATGTAGAAAAGCGGGCGATTAAATAAAATAAACCCTAGAAAATTAGAAAATTTCCGGGTTCTCAAATTCATTTTTTTTTCGGGGCGTCACATTTAGAGTCATCTATTCTTGTTAGCTAAACTTGTTTTTGAGTTACTTTAAAAGCATGTTTAGGGATTTAAGGAGGGTAGAAAATATGGGGGAATAATACTTGAGAAGTGAAAGATCGACAATGAGTGGTTATCACGTACAAAACTCCATGGATAGAGGTAACTAAGAAATTGCCGAAAGCATGTCATTTGAAAATGGTTTAAGGTGCTTAAAAGTAAAGCTTGATGTTATAACGTTAAAAGTTCAATTGGACACCATTATGCTTGAAAATTGAGTAAAAGAGAAATGTTAATACTTTAAATTGTAATTATATGAATTGTGACTTGTGTGGAGGTTATCATACTACTCATACATGTATGTAAGAACAAAATGTGGATTATTATGATGAATTTAGGCATTATAATTCTTGTTTTGATCAAGACAACCCTAATCTGAGGAATTCTTATACTTATGGTTGGGATAATCGATGTACTAATAGTGATTCTCCATATTTTTATAATTACCAACCCAAATTTGTCTAATTTGAATCTAAACCATCTTGAAAATTGTCAATAAAAAGGTTAGCTAATGCATCTTTACCTTGGCAATTAGAAAGTGAACCATTAGCTAATGATTCTAATGCATCTTGGGAGTTAGCTTTAGAAAGGCTAGCTAATGCAACCGCCGACCGTTTTGCTAGGATTGAGAAAGGTTATATGAATTAGCTTCTCACTTTGGTAGAATACTAGATCAATTGCATGAGTTGTGTAAAGTTATTTCTTCTAATGATATGCACTATGACCCTAATATGAATGGTGAGCATGTTTCAAGTGAAAGTGGATTGCATTTTGATGAAAATAATGAATCTCAATTGTGTTTTAATGAAAAAATGACCATTTCACATGATAGTACCTTTGGAGTTAATCTTGAACCTCAAGAGGTGAGCCTTAACGACTCATTTTTCACCCTCTTGAGGAAAGTATTGAGAATATATGTTTTAAAGGTATTATTCCTCTAGAAAGTCATGCGGATGTTCCTTTGGTGAGTTCTCAATTGGTGCATATTCAAGATAATATCTACGACTCATTTGAGAATGGTAAGCCACTTCCATCTCTCATATCATTTGATTATATGACTTTTGCTATCAAACCACCTTTTAATAATCCACCACAACCTAAAATGGTGGATTATTCATTAACAAAACCTTCTTGAAAAATGAGACAAAATAGTCAAGCCAACAACTATAAATAAAAACGCTAATTGAGAGGCAACCCAATGTTTTTGTTAGTTATGTTAATTTTATGTGATTTTATATTTAAATTATGTGTTTGAGTTGTTTTGTTGTTTTTCTTTTATAGGTTTGGGAAATAGAGGCAAAGGTGACCAAATGAGGCGAAAAAGGTGAAATTTGATCAAGGAACTCAACCCCTCAATTTGAGTAATTGTTGTTTTTTATTAATTAAAGAGGGTAGAAATGCAAGTTTTGATTATTTTACATATGCACGCATTGATTATTTTGACCAAAAAATAATCTAGGATGCATTTTGGGTAATCAGGGCAATATGTATAATTTTTGAAAAGTTAGGAATTTCTACAGAAAAATTGCAGATAAAAAAAAACGCGAATTAAGTTTGCATTTTCATATCGCGTTGTGTGTTCTACAACCTTTCAATAGAAAACGCAGCTATTAAAATGCGACTCCAAGTCATGTTTTTATGAGCCCGTGTATTCGATCCTGCGATTTTTCAATTGAATGCATGAGTTCCAAAATTCGACCTCAGGGCTGCGTATTCAACTCGCGTATTTGGGGACCAATTTAAAAGACAAAACGCAGGTTCATTTCCTTTTTCTTCTTCTTGCCTCACCTCATGTTTTCTTACACACACTCACACACATTTCACCAGTCTTCTCTTATACATCATTTCTTTGCAAGAAATCATCCAACAAACATCATTTGATCTTTATAGAGCCTTTATAACTGATTAGAATTCATATAAAATATCTCAAAAATCGGTTGTAGGTTAGGGTTCACATTTTCTAAGTTCTTCAATTGGAGATCAAATGGGGTGATTTTCATAGGTTTTTTTGCATCATTTGCATCACCAAATATCACTCTACCAATTTGAGGTAAATTTCTTCAAATTAACTTGCATTTTAAAATTCACCATTTGCATGTTTTTGAGTTTAATGATACACTTTGAATAGTGAATTTGTGATGCTATTTGTTGATGTATATAAGTTCTATTATGTTTATTTAATATTTTTAAGCATGTTTAGATGATCAAATGTGGGAATGTGATGATCTATGCAATGTTTCACTTTATGCGGATTCCTATTTTATGATTAATGTGGTGATTGCCCTTGGAATATTTAGTATAATTGGATGGTTCAAATTGCTAAAATATGACTTGTTTATGATGCTTACATATATACATTCCTTATATGGTGACATTTTAGCCAATTTGATTGCTTAATCTTCGTATGGAGCATGATTAGAAGATGAATTTTGAATATGTGAAAAATTTAACAATTTTTAGAATTTTAGGAGTGAAAAATCTGTGACGTGAAGTGTTTTATTGTACCTTGAGGAGTTTCTTGTCAATTTTATATGGGTACATCACCAAAACAAATGCATGAAGTTACGGATCACCATTTTATGTTTATTAATGCCTTTGTTATCACCTTTGTTTTTCATTTTCAATTCTTAAGTTTCTATTACTAATGGTTATCCAATGGAACTCATGAAGTTTTGGAGATAAGTGAATAATGGATTTTGACACTTCATAATGTATCAATCGCAACATAGGGGAGTATTACTTTTTTTATCTTGATTTTCCTTTTTATACATTAAGAACAATGTGCATATTAAGTGTGAGGGAGGGAGGGGAGAATTGAGATTATATACATTGTATCCGAATCATTTATTAGTTGCAAATATTTCTTGTGCTTCAATTTGTTCAAACTTGGATTTGTTGGCAAGGAGTTTTGTCCAGTTATAAGAGGAAACTCTGCCAAAATTTTTTCAAAATCTTGTCCAAAATTGCAAATTTGCCCAAAAAAAGTTTCAAATTTTTTCAATTTTATTCAAAGGACAACAAATTCTATACCATTAGTAACTAAATTCCTTCTACTTTTGAGATAAATGTATGTGACTTGAAAATTGCTTTTTCCATTTAACTTGAAAATTACTATTATGTGATTATAATTTGTACATTTATAGGAAAGTATATCGTATAAAATGGAGAAAATTATGCCTAAAATTTGCATGTTTGATGAAATTTCTTTTATTTACTTGATTTTACAAAATTAAGTGATTAATATGGTCAATAAGTGCAATACTCTTCTCATGATCATTCTTTTGAGGGAATGTTATTATCTTTGCTTTGAAAAAAAACAAAGTAGAAGAAGAAAAAAAAGAGAGAATAAAAACTGTTCTACTCCAATGGTTCTTGTACTTAGTAACCAGGAGTTTTCATCTACAAATATTGATATTTGCGTAAAACGGTACCTGAATTAAAAGTATGCAATGCAACTTGAGAATGTGAATTGTTGAGTAATCGGCGATCTTCATCTAAAAATGTCGATTTTCGCGTCAAAAGACACTTTACAAGTTGAGAATATTTAACTGTGTTATATGAATAAAATCCCTCTTTGAACTTGAGAAGAAGATGATCATGGGTTTAAGAAGCATTTTTATTGAT